AAGAAGTGTCAAAGTGAAATGTCAGCGATATCAACTGTCAAACTTAGTACTTAAGGAAATCTGACATTTTATACTTAATAACCTAATATTTAAGTTTCTAGAACAATTAGAAGAACTATTCTTGCTTCACTTCCTGCGTTTACAGTTTGGGACCCAGTCAAAACATATATTCTACCTTAAGTGATTAATATCTAAGGTTGCAAATGTCCTAGTATATATATTCAGTGTTTTAGAAGGCATTTAATAAACCTATTCTAATCCAGCCCTATGTTTCCCATGCAAAGCTATTAGGAATCAATGTCACTTATATGTAAACCCAAATGTTGGATTATATCCCTAATTGGGTCTTGTAGAATCATTAAATCAATCTTTTGGTAATAAGCCAACTATTTGAAACCTTCTTTGTGGTCACCAACAGGGATTACAAGAATTGGGTTTTGATTATCCTTAATATCCTGTTCAGTAACAATGCCAACACTACTATTGAAGATTTTACAATCTAAATCCTTTATTTACTATTTCATCAAATATGGCATCCCTCTGATTCCTTTCCCAAGGGCTATCACTGATGCTATATCCAAAGAAAGTTCTCTGGCTGAAAGTAATATTGATTGATTTGTAGGAGACTGACCCATGGACACACAGTACCAGCGCACTGTCCGGACTCATCAAATTTCCTCCTTTGGTTAATGCTACCGTCCCTGAGCACATCCATTCAGACCATATGGTTCTTATTCAATCCGTGAATGGCTTATTCAGGCAAACATCCAATGGCTGTAATAGCGATGTCAGACCCCCCAGGACTCATGCAAAGATCAGTTTTTAATTTTTTGGCCATATTTCTTACTCCATCTGCTAAATGTGCATGGAACAGTTCCCATCCTTACATGGAACATTTGTGGAACTGCGCCCCTGGGCAGGGATCCCATATCTTTTGCAGCCAGAGTTTGACGAGATCATCATGGATTCAATCCTTTGGATATGTCTATGCTATCAGTCGAGCAATATTTCTACCCCCTTCCTTTTTAAAAAGATTTATTCAGAAAACTATGAGAAGCTTTGGTTTTATTCTTCTGGCTAGACAGGGTGTAGGTTCTTTCTTGTTCCTTCTGATGACAGTGATTTTGAAACTCAGAGTTAAGATCAGAGGTCATGGATATTCCATTTATGTCTCTGAGACACATAAACTCATGTTTATACTCTCTATTGACAGTTAAGACACTCTGGCAAAGAATTTTCTGCCCACTATCATCTAAGACTGGCAAACAATAATGAAAAGTAGTGATGATACTCTAGTAATGTATAGCACCTTCCCTCTAAGGAAGCCCACAAACAGCTTGCTGAGGTATTACCTCATTCTCTATGAAATATGTAGAAATTGGTTTTCTCTCATTTTAAAGCAGAGAGTCTTTATTTTACCAATCATCACACAATCATATATTCTTAGCACAATGTTCTACTCACATTGCCTTCTTACTGTGATTCCTAAGATAAGAAACTATTATAGGTTGAAAATGAAAAATCTATTTAGTAGCAAAGGGTAAAATACATTGACTCATTTTATTCTTGTGACAATGAGAACTTGCTTTTTTTCTCTGCAAGATTTCTCATCTGAAGATAAAATAAAATTAGAGGCAGTACAGAGGGGCAAAGATTTCAACTCTGGAATCAGAAAGACCTGGGCTGGAATCTCAGCTATGCCATTAAATTGCTGTGTAATCTCGGGCTCTTAAGTCTTACTTTTCTCATCTGTAAAATGGAGTTAAAGTAGTGCCCATCTCATAGGATTTTTGTTAATATTAAACAGAAGAATGGTTGTAAAGCACCTAGCAATATGTGCCTGGTACAGTGTAAGTACTTATAAAATATTCGTTATCATTGTCATCATTGTTACTGGGAATGTCAACTATTTTTAGATAGCAAGTATACAGACTAACTACACAAAGTTGACTAAATCGATTGAAAATTCCACTTAATTTTGTCACTAGATCTTTACTAGCTCTTTGCATAGCTGTTTTGCTTTGGGTCAAAATTCTGAGCTCTGGTTTAATTTCCAGATGATACAGCTCTAAGGGTAAAAAAATCTGCATTTGGCAACAACAAAAAAATGCTTCTCTCTTAAGGAAAAAAATATAACAGACATTAACACCAACAACAATTTATACATGTGATAACGTGTTAAAAACAGTTAGTAAAGGATAAATAAAAAATAAATTAAGACGTGTTCACCTCACATGTCTAATTCTTGAGGAATTTTTGTTGTTTTTTTTTTTCCTTAAAAATGCAGGTTGATTTAGTTCTCTGAAAGCTTCTTCATAAATTCAAAGTTAATGATAGGGATATTCTGAGGGTCGTTTAGTGCTCTATCATTTTCCTTTCTAGAAGTCTGCATTTGTATTTGTTTTTTCATTCCTTCATTCATTTATTCTAAGACTTGTTAGTGCCATTCCTAAAACTATCTTTCATGTCTCTGGAAGAATGAAAAGATTTGTTTTGTAGTTTAATTTTAGATGGTGATATCCAATATATTGACCTTATGATAGTACACTCTTTTTTTTCTTTGCTTTTGCTTTCTTTCTTTCTTTTTTTTTTTTTTTAAAAAAAAAACAACCTGGGAATTATAGTACACTCTTATGTTGTGAATATAAATGACCCCTTGACACACAAACTTTGCTACACTCACAAGGTTCTTAAACAATATTTCACAGAGCCCACAAAAGTAAGGGGCAGGCAAGGGGCTTTTTAAACTATAGCATTTCCATTTTTTCAAATACGTGTATTAGAATTCTATAGACTTCATTTGAAGCAAGGATTTAGGGATCGAAAAGTTGACAACCATTAACCTAGATTAAGAATGTCAATCTTTGGAAATCAAATATATTTTACTCCATTTTATTTACTTTCTCTTATCTGTGCTTATTCTTATTTATGTTTAGAATAATATTTCCCTTCTATTTGCTTATCTAAATTTAAATCAATACTGTTAGCTTTAATATTATAATTGAGAGTGTTTTCTAAGTATCCCTCAAATTGTAATTTCCAAGAAATATGTCATCCCTATCATACATATGCATATAGCTATAAGATATGACATTTCACTGGATGCACTGGCTCACACCTGTAATCCCAGCACTTTGGGAGGCCAAGGTGGAGGATCGCTTGAGGCCAGGAGTTGGAGACCAGCTTGGGCAACATATCAAGACCCCGTCTCTACAAAAAATGAAAAAATTAGCCAGGCTCAGTGGCACACGCCTATAGTTCTAGCTACTTGGGAGGCTGAGGCAGGAGGATCACTTGAGCCCAGGAGTTTGAAGCTGCAATGAGCTATGATTGTGCCACTGCACTTGAGACCCTGTCTCCAAATTAAAAAAGGTAAGACATTTGAGGGTCCTGCTATTAAGCATAAATGATAAGATATTAAATATGTGTTACGATATAAATGCTTGGTGGAGTTGAGCTATGTGTTCTCAGCCACTACTCATGGTTTACTTATTTGGAGTGATTATATAATTTATAGAATGCTTATAGGAGGGCTCTGAGATATTTTAAAGAATGAATTATTTTTGCTTTTGGTTAAAAAATAAAGTAAGATACAAAGAGCCAACAAGCCTAGTGATATAGTAGTATTACTCTAGGCAAATAGAAACTGGACCATGGACTAGATCACAACAATAATAACCAATGGCAAATAAGGAAAGATTCTCACTATGACTTTCCCTCCTTATAGTTGTGTATTTCTTCTAAATACAGATTGATGGAAATTGCTACTTGTCATTGACAAGAATTACTGGTTCCAAAATAAACAATAAATTGTTTCAACAATGCAGTTCCTAATATTTCCTATTACTTCAGTAAAAAAAATAGAAGGAATTTTTGGTAGTGTGTGAATTTCTCTGTATTTTTATTGGCTACTTGCAAAATCGGAAAAAAAGATCCTTAATCCTTTTTAAATGACCCTATCAATTCATATATTTAGCATAATTTACCAACATTTCCAAACTCAGCATGGAAAAGCCATCAACATGGCACTAGGTCATGGGTTCTGAATGAAGCCGTCAGCAAGGATTAATAAACTGTGACAGCTGCCCAAAAGCTTTCATTCTTTTTATTTAAACATCAGATTGCAAGCTGAAATTCAGTGAAATCCTTGTTGAAACTTGCCCAGCTAACATGGAAGAAGTCAGAACTGAGAACAGATGACAGCAGTAGTTATTATTGCAAACTCAGTCCCTAGCAATAAATTCTAAAATTTACATTTACATATATAGCAATTTCTAGAGAATTTCAGGAGTAGCATACAAACTATTTCTATCTGTTATTCGTTTAAACAATTCTTTTTGCTTTTTTGTTTCTTTAAGGGACAGGGTCTTGCTATGTATGTTGCCTACGCTTGATCCAAACACCTAGCCTCAAGCAATCCTCCCACCTCAGCCTCCCAAGTAGCTGGGACTACAGGTGCATGTGACCATGCCCAGCTTGTTTAAACAATTCTTAATCATGATATTTTGAAAATTAGACTGATAAAACTAAAATCATTTAGCTCTAATTTCTATGCTCAATAAATTATCTAACTTTTCTCCTACTATTATATTAGTCCCTTCTCTCATACTGCAATTTAAAACTGACTTTAGTTAGACTATAGTTATAGTCTATTTTGGGGTCACATAATTTTCCTGGGAATTATTTCTCAGAAAAAACTAGACTATATTATATGACTAAACAGACTATATATTGTTGTTGATTTTTTTGGTATAAATATAACATACACGCATCAACATAAAGGTGAAACTGATCCATGAAATAGTTACCAACTATAATTTCCTAAACAATGCATTTTTGCAGATAGCAAGATATAAAAATTAACCCATTGGACTAGGGATTTACTATTTTTAAGTACATTTAAAATTAATACATAAGATTTCCTAGTGATTGAATATCAGCACCAGAAATTTATCAGTTTAGTATACATGTCAAATAGCTAGTAAATCTTTCGAGCTTACCCCTTTTTCAATATTCCCAGTTTGACACAGTGTCCCCTCAGCTGCTGGAATACTGTTGGTGACACAGCGGTTGCTTTTGCTGAGGCACCAGAGCTCTCTACACACTTCCTAGGAAAGAAGGCAAAGCAAGTTGATCAGGAATAGAGACTAAAATCATGTCCAATTCTTTCCTAAAATACACTCATAGTCATTCAGCACTACTTTAAAAAGAGACCCCAGTTTTCTTGTTGCTGCTGAAGCATCAGAGATGAGGATTCTGGAGGAGATTCTTATGGAAGACGGGTTACCCATTTTGCAGAATCATTTAGACATTTGTTTTTATAATTCTTAGTGGGTAAAGTGTAACTTAGCTTTTAATATTGATTAGGATTTTTTTATAATAGTGTACAAAAATTTCATTAATATAGAGGAATAGGGAGAAAGAATAAATACATAGAAAGAAAATATATGTTTATTACACTCAAGGATATACAATAGCACAAACTTACCAATTGCTAATAAAGTGATGCCAGGTGAATGATTTCCTAGACCTAATATAATACTTGAATAAAGACAATTTTAAAATAGAAAAAAGAAGAAAGATCATGGGAATGGATTGGAATACATGAACTTGAAGAAATGTGAAGTGTATTTTGGAGTAATTTCTAAAGTTCATATACGCCTAAGAACAATCTAGCAATGTTATTTTTAGTCCATCAATGTAGTCTACCTCCATGAAAGGGAACCTTGGTTTTGAAGAAATGCTGCCTTTTATGGCATGTTTTGAATGTTGTTTGGAACTGTCTTATCTCCTTTATTACAATTTTTCACTATCCTTCCTCAACACAGAAGAATTACAGCACTTACTCTATTACTGAACGATATTTTGTTCATACTATATCTATTAGATTCTAAAATAAACTGTTCAATATTATCCCTAAGTGTTTCAACTAACAGCTCCCCAAAAACCTACTGTTGAAGAAAATACTCAAAATTTTCAGTTTCTTTTTATATATCATCACCAAGCATCATTACTGATGTTACAAGTTTTAAATTTAAACTAGAGCTATTTAGTTTATTATATATGCTTATAATAAAAATATAATATAGGAATACAAAAATAAATTTATATGTGACATTTAATCCCATTGCTTTTGTTCCCCAGCTGATCTTTTAACTCTCAAAACACAATTATAAGAACTTTTATCACATTAACACAATTCAGAAATAAGGTAGTAAGATATTGAAATAACTAATTAACCAGTCCTACATTAGAAATGCCCCAGTGTATAACAAACTGAGGGGATTTCTTTTGACCCCTCTTTAGGGTGCCCCCCACCAAGCAAGCAGAGAGATATGTAATGTCTATTAGGCTTCAAAATACTTAAAAATTTTTAAACTCCATTTGGAGAATTAGTGAGCGAGAAGAGAAATAAAACATTAAAAAAGTAGGTACTGTGGATCATAATATAAACATAAAACTTCCCTGTTTTTGTAATCCAATTTATTACAAAACCCACTTTAATTTTTTTCAAAGTTTTGGCTTCTGTTTTAAGAGAGTTTATATTACTTTATTCTTCTTTTTCTATAGAAGATTTTTTTAAGTTTATGTTCCTAAGTATATTCTTTTAGTTTAATATTTAAAAAGCAGTAGGAATAACATTTAAGGGCTTTAAAATATTGTCTCATGTATCACAAATCTACACAAATTCTAAGAAAAATGTGTTTACAAAAACAGAGAAGCATTAATAGAGATTAATACAGAGATTATGAAAACTTTTTATCTATAGTCCTGGATGATACTCCTGATCTTTTGTGATCTTAATTAGGTTAAAATCTTACTTTAGACAAAAGTAAAAGAAGCTTGAAGTTTACTTTAGACGGAACTATGCAATCAAAATTCTATCACTGAAAAGGACAATACCTATAAACATCTAACAGGAAAACATATTATGTAGCCAGGTTACAAAAACTTTCTTTCCCAAAAGCACCTTGAAAATCTCTATCCAAAGTAGCAAGTGCTCAAAATATTTTTTTCAAAGTCTTAATCTCAAGATTAACAGAGCCCTCTTAACTTTTAGAGAATTATGCATTTTCAAAGTTAGATTCACACTTCTAACAGGATTTTATTACCTTGGTGGAACTCCAGGGATTTGAATTTTGCTAGGGCATTAACATCTCACAATCACTGTTTAAAGTATGGAACTAGAAATCTATGTTGGGAAACACTCCCAAGATGTTAAACTAGTCAAAGACAAGGCTCTGAAGAGTTTTCAAACAGATTTTGCATTGGAATCTCAACTTGAATAAGAAAGATTTAAAGATTTTGGTATCCAATTAAGGACGATTTCACAAGATTATAAAAAAAAAAAGGATACTCTCTTGAAACATAAAAAGCAAGAAAACTTCATTTCATGCCAATAATCAATAAGTATACTCCTTAAAAGAATTTGAAAATAATTTCACACTTTCAGAAATACCCTTCTTTCTCTAAACTGTTGAATCCTAGAACACGGCTGATGTTTGCATAGGTATATTAGTTTCATTTACACATTTATTAATACATTTGTTGCTGAATAAGCAATCTAAGGTGGGTTTGTTCCAACCTCTAATAAAGTTAAAGGCATGGTGAAATTTTTATCTCATGAAAAATTTGTATAGCAACCATCATAGTAAGCAGATTAATTTCCCTAAGCAAAATATAGAAGTGATGGGGTATAGTTAGTGAGAAGGAATGATGATTTTTTTCTTTTTCTTTCTTTTTTTTTTTTTTGACTAGCCACTAGCTTAGCTCTAGAGGAGTAGTTCTCTTTCACATAGTTATGATTCCTGATAGGAGAAGGTAAGATTTATTATGATTAGTTTCGTGACCTCTATGAACTAATAAATCATCATCTGTGTGTCAGGGTTCCTTCTATAATCCTAAATTTCATTTTGGGAAAACTCTCTAGGGGAAATTTGGGTCTTTGTGCTTGCCCTTTAGTTTAAGGAAGGAGAGAAAAGTTATCAACAGTCCCCACTAAGGGACATTTCTGTGACATGACACTGAAAATTTGAAATGCAATCTCTAAGTTTATAGGGTAAACTTCTAATCAATTAGGAGGATTGCCTGGCAATACAAAAATAACAGCATTTCCTTCACTCATTCAAGAATATTCACTGAGAATCTATTATGCACCAGGAATTATGTTAGTGTTATAAAAAATAATACTAGCCCTTAGAATTCATGGAACTTGAGAGAAGAAGGTAGAGTATAGTCAGACATGTACCTCAAATGCCATGGATTGGTATTCTATGATAACTTCTATGATAAAGTTTTTAATATTGTATGACAAAATTAGAAGAATGATGTCAATGTGGTCAGGTTTTTTCATAAAAATAAAATATTTTAGTGGGCTGTCCTTAAGTTTTATTCTTTTTACTTTGTTGATGTTACTATATAGACTGTAATACTCCCAAAGGCAGGGTCTGTGTGCTTATGGCAGTCTCTATAAAATGTTCCTTCTTGGCAAAATTATAATTTGGCATCCCTTTCTTGGTCTGCCAGTTTTTTGGGGGAAATTTTTCTTATAAATGTCTAAAAGTTTGTGAACAACTCACTGCCCAAGTAAAATAGTCAATGTTTACTTAGATATATTTATGTGTTTACCAGTGCCTTTAATGACAATTCCTTCTTATATCCCATCACTATCTTCTGAATTCAATTTCTTTCTTTCTTTTTGACATACATACTTTAGTAGTGAATTTATCCAGGGACTCTTTTTCTTATTTTTCTGAAAATATTTTACCCTCATTTTTGAATGCTATTTAAATTGAAGGTACAATTTTAGGTTAACATTTATCTTACCACAGCATTTGAAGGTATTAAGTTCATTTTTATCTGACCTCTATGGAGGCTGATGAAAATTACTTGTAAATATAACAGCTGTTTCTTTATTATAGTCTTTCCAGTTGCTTTCAGGTTTCTCTTTGTCTTTACTAAAAGTGTAGTTTCATCACTGTACCTAAGTATTCTTTTTATTTATCTACTTGGGATTTATGCTCTGAGGATTTGTACCTTTCCTTGATTCCAAAATATTATCAGTTATTATTTCTTTTAAGATGCCTCTTTTCTGTTCGTTCTATTCTTTCTTCTAGAACTCCTCAACTTATAGTGGACCTTCTCATTCTAACCACCATGTCTCTTAACCTCTCTTTTTCTCTTAGGAGTGTTCATATTCCTACTTGTCAACTTCATGGTGGATTGTTTTCTCATATTGTTTGTTATTTTGTATTCGAGCTTATCTTCAGTGAACATCATTTTTTCTTTGAGCATCTAAGTTGTAGAAGTATAGATACCTGCATTTGTTTGTATCATACGTCTCAAGGTTTTCACTAAACCAGTTTTCATGTTGATTTATTTGGTCAGCACCATGTAGACTATATAAAGTTTTACTTTGTTCTTACGTAGGGTACAATTCTAGGGCTTCAATTTCTTATGGGAGCCATTATTTTCCACTAAAACATTCACACAGTTAAATCTCTGCTGGCATTTGTTCTCAGTATTCCAATCTGCTGATCCTTTGCAGCCTTAAACCCTGTGGTTTGTGATGCTTCCTTCTTAGAGATGTTGGGTTTTGAGGGCATTTGCCTCCAATAGAGACCACTTTCATAAAAATTAAGAATTGGATCCAGCCTTTAGCTTCTTATCAATTAACTTTTTAAATATAACACAAAAGGGATGTATCTTCACAGCTTCATCATCTACCCTCATGACTTTAATAGAAAGCTTAGTGTTTTGGAAATGAAGCCACTAAACCATCCACCATGTCCAATAAAAAAAGCCTTTCTGAAGGACTTTGAATTTTTTCTAAGAGTCTTTATATAATGCTATAGACTTTCTCATTAAGTGTGAAAAAGCCTGCCTGATAGCTTCAAATCATTAATATACTAGGAAACAATCACATATGAAAAAACAAGACATGCATTATACTGGTGTCAGTTTCCAATTCGTGAATTGTTCCTGTGTCTCTTATTATCACATAAATACATGTTATATAGCTAAATGGACTAAATTTAATTGTTTTTTCATTTTATTTTACCTAGCATTTTTATTTTCATAGTTGAAGAAGTGATTGTGTTTACTGTCT